TCTCGAACCCGCAGGCTCAGGCAATACACTCACCTCAGCCTCCCAAAGGCGCAGGATTACAGGCTGAGCCACTGAGCCCGGCTCATTCTCTGCTTTATCAGTCATGCCTGCAACTGTATCAGGCAGAGTGACCCTTGACGTGCCTCAGCCGGCACAGCCATGGTGGGTGACTTCAGAAGTCAGGAATGTCTGATAGGTTTATCCAGGCCAAGGGGTAGCAGTCTTCTGTTCCCAGCATCACCCCGACACCCTGACACCCTCTCACCCTACCTCTCTGCCTACCCATTGTGCCTTGCTGAGAAAGCTCAGGAACCACATAACAGCTCGGCCCTTGAGTGTGACGGGGGCCTGGGCTACATACAGAAGAGGCCCTGCAGAGGCAAAGACGGGTAGGGGTCACACTCGGGAGGGAAAGGCGTGGGGTGAACCACTAGAGGCTCACAAAATACAGATGTATCCTTCTAAAAAGATAATGCAGGGCTTTCATGACTTCAGCTGGTGCGATTCCTGCTAGTCAGTAACAAGAGTCTATGAGTCACTCCTTGCAAGCATGCTTTTATGGCAATGATGTACAAATGCCTCCTGGTCTGTCATGGCTGTCTGCGGTTACTGTGCAAGTCCACGGAGGGTGGTAATAAGAACCCTGGACTGGACTGGAAGTCGGGAGTTCATTGTCAGTGGTTCCCCCAGGTCCTCTGTTTGAGTGTGGGGCCTTCTGTTCAAGCCTGACCCAGGAGGCCTTTCCACCCTCCAATCATTCTGCTCTCTTTGGCTCTCTCCCTTTCCCTACTCCCCTCACACCCCTCCTTTCTTATCACACAAGCAGCATGCTCTTCCCAGAATATATCTTTCTGTCTGTGTTCCCTCAAGCTGTTTTCTCAGCTGTACATGGCAAACTCCTACTCATCTGTCAAGCATCCCATCAAACCTCCTCTTTCAGGAAGCATTCCCAGACTATCCCCGCCACAGTCATTTGTTGTTCTAAGCTCCTGCACCTTGCTCATAGCACTTAAGATTTAGTGATAATAAAGGGTTAATGTTTACTGATCACTTAGCAGAATGTGGAGCAGCATTCTAAACACTTTCCCAAGAGTACTTTATTTAGCCCTCATAGTAACTCTGTGAAGATGATAATGCTATTATCCTCATTTTACAGAGAATACTGTGGAGGATCAGAGATATTAAGTAACTTGCCCAAGGCCACAGAGCTATTAAGTGGCTATTAAGTAGGCATGTTCCTGGCACACAGTAGCTACTCAATAATGAGTCACCTCACGAATGATTAAATAAGTAAATAAATACAGAAATGACTACATTTCTGTCTCCTCTGCAGAAAGCTCAAGTGAGAACCACTTTGTTTTCATTGTTTAAACCGTCCTCCCTATCTAATGCCTAGTAAGGCATAGAACACTGGAAACACGTGCTAATGAATAAATGAACAAAAGAATATAAGAGAAAACCAATAAGTAGGGCCCAAATCCCAGCAATGCCATTCACTGACTTCAGCTAGGCAGCTCCAGTATCCTGGGCCCTGTTTGTTGCCTGCCAAATGCAGAGATTGTACATAACATTCGCGTAAATCCCTTCTAGTGTTAAAGATTTGTATAAATCAATAACCAGAGTCCATGATTTTATGATTATGGCAATTCCCATTCCAAGTTATGAATGGCAGGGTCTTCTGCATTTCTTTGCTCAGCAACACAACTCAGTGGGATATGACATTTGAGGCAGGTATTACTTCAATGCAAAGCCAATGTCAAGAAAGAGTTAATTGGGCCTGAGCCTTGGTTCACCTTCATTCTTATCCAAGCAGAGTCACACCCAGGGAAAGAATTATTAAGTGCCTGGCAAAGTCCTCATAAATAATAATCAATAACAAACAATGATTCCAAGTTAGATTATGCAACGCCAGTGCCCCTGAGCCTGTGCTCCAGAGAACTTCCATGTTATTCTCCTTGCTTCGCTTCCCCCGTCTCCCCCTCAACCCCTGTCACCTCCTCCAGAGCCCTTCTTCTCCAAATAGATCCTGGTCCCCAACCTCTCACCACCATGCACATATAGGCACACACACACACTCACTCACTGATGACACAAATGCAGCAGCAAGGTGCTTAGCACATGGTAAGGGGCTGATATACGCTTGTGAAATGCTGATGCCCAGAGGGTGTTGAGATGTGTCCACATCAGTGCAAACATAGGAGTTCTGGCTGTATTTCATTTATTCCCACTCTACCTGTAGCCAACCAGGAGCTTGGCTTTTTGCCTGGTACCTGACACACCTGTGTTGTCATTAATGATCAGCCCTAAGTATGCTAATGTCTAACATTTCTCATTTGGCTAACACTCAGTGTAAACCATTACACCAAAGGATACCTAAACACAACGTGTGACCAAGACAGTGTCTGCTTGTGTTGGAAGGAAGGCAGGATCCTTGTTCTGTGTTTTGCTAGACTCACGACAAGGAACATAAGCACTGGCCCACAGAGCTAGTCAATAACCAACCATACTAAATCCAATATGAAGAGCACCTCTCTCATAACAGGAGTACAAATAAATAGTCCCTGTAAAGGACTTCTATTGTTTATCTGTCTCATGCTCCCAAGTCCTTGGAAACCTGTTCTCCTCTCACATCATTTGGTGTTAGATCACATTACGGGCCAATCGCAGTAGCCAGTTCCCCTGACTTCAGCCATAATGAATCCAGAGGTGGGCCAATCAGAATCCTTCCCTGAGATTTTTTTCAATATTGAACTGGAAGAGAAAGATTCTATCCTTTTGGGTCATGGAAAGATATGAACAAGAGGCAAGCGGCATGCAGAAAAATCTGTTTGCAAGAAGGCAGAATGGAGCCAACAGAGAGTAAACACCCAAACTATAGACAGAAGGAGAATGGACAGGAAAAACTCTGAGTGTGTCTGGACCTTCCTGTTTATATGAGTTAATGACTTCCTTGTTTTGTTTGGTTAGTTTGAGCTGGGTTTCTGAAAAGTACAGCTTAAGTCACCTAGCACAGTCACAGTTCATACTTACAATGTACCCATGAGTGTATCTTTCACACCTCAGCATCCAGGTGATTCTTATGAGACGGGTTATCACACATGGGAAATGTCTTTGTTCCTTCTCACAAGAAAGGCAAGAACAATCCTGGGCAAGAAGCACTCTTAGCACCCTAGTTAACGACATCTTTTTCTTTGTACCTCTGGTGCCACTGGTGGCCTGCCAATCACAAGATGTGAGGACTGTTCTGTTTCAAGCCATCAAAGCTTGTAAAATAGAGGCTGGCCAGACAGGCTAGGCAACCAGCTGGGGATGTTTTGGAGAAGAGCATCTTCACGATGGTCAGCCCTCCACTGCAGCCCTCTGCTGGCTGATTCCCTCTGACGATCTGCCTTTGCATCACCAAGAGGGTCTCTCATCAACCATAAAGTGTTGGGTGTATGGGGTACTGGTACTTCCCAATTAAAACCAGAGCCCTGAAAACCCTCTGTGAGAGAACAACCAAGACACATGACTTTAATGGAAACTTTTTAAAAAGAAAGCCACCATATACAATTACTGAAAAGGGTGATGCTCTGAAAGCTGCAAGCCTTCCCTTCTCTAACCCTAAAGAGCTGTCCAGTGAGCTATGAACCATGAAGTTACAACAGTGAGAAAAGGAGGCACTAGGCAGGAGTGGCACCCGGGACACTGGTCTCACCCCTTTCTCTCCCCTCTTCTGTGAGGCTGGAGCTTGGTAGGTCATGAGCAAGTGCTGCCTGGACGGCTAGTCTGCTCTGGGCTGAGGTGATTGGTCTCTTTCAGCCTGATGGAATGCTCTTCCTATGCCCCATAGTGTCAGTGTGCCCCAGGCTTGGAGGAGTTTGGCAGCTGTCTCTCCCTGGGCAGTGGAAAGCAGCCATATCCCACGGTGGACTCAACAGTTTCTCATCACCAAAACAAACACACAACAGTCCCGATTGCCATGGAGAGTTCAATCCTCTTGTCCTGGGATTGGCACCAAATGGAATTCCAAAGGCCCTAGCTGAACTACCTCCTGCGAGGTCTAAATACAGCTCATCAGATTTTAACCTAAACACACAGCCTGGACCAGTGCCCAGGGCTGACAGCCCCTAAGGGCCACCCAGGAAGCCAGCCAGGAAGTCCTGACTTCTAGTTGCCCACTTGGTAGTGGGCATTCAAAGATATCTGAGATGTGATGCGCTGGTGAGCCTAGGTTCATTGATGCTGTCAATGACCAAATGATGGCGGGGGTATGGGAGGTGGTGGGAATCAGTCTGTGCAGGGTTAAGGATGAGTGTGGTCCTGAGTAGAGAAATGCATTCTGGGCAAGGGAGTGGGCAGGTGGAGAGTGCAGGGGTGTCAGAGGAAGAGAAAGAGAGGGAAGAAAAGCCAGTCAGGACCAAAGACTTACTTCGTAGTCAATGAATTCAAAATCAGGGGATCTTTCTAAAAGCTTCACACCCAAAGGATTACTTTCTTTAATTACACCTCTCCATGGGATTTAAGGTTTAAGGCCTGGAATCAGACAGATCAAGGTTGCCCTCTAGTTGTGTGACCTTGGGCAAGACAATTGACTTCTCAGTTCCCGTGTCTCTAAAATGGTCCAAAAGACTATCATGGGTGTTCCATGAGATCATGGACATAAAGTGCCTAGCACATAGAAGCTGCTCAATAAACAGTAGCAACTAGCAGTAGTAGTGGTCGCAGTACTAGAACTAGGGATAATGTCAAGCATTTGCTTCACTCCTTCAAACTTGCCTTTGGTTTTTCACCCTTGGAGAGTTGCTGAGGCCACTACAATAAGACGGAAACATCCAACCAGGAAGAGCTGATGTGTATAGACAAAGGAAACCTTCACCTGAGCAAAACAATACGACACTCACACCCACATCTACTAAGAACCTTAGAATGGCAAAATAGCAAGGGTATCCTAACCTCCCAAATGCCAACCCAGATGCCCTGCAAAGGTGAGACATGCCAACACAGACGTGCCCCCTTACCTTGGTGTTCATGCACGACTTCCCACGCTTATATTCTTTGTGGGAGCCACGCTTGTCCAGTTTGTGCCACAGGGCTTTGGCTTTCCAGGTGGTCACCTTGGACTTGAGCTTGGAATAAAAATTTTTGTGGTCCAGAGGGTCGAGGTCCAAGAGTCGTGTGAGGATATTGAAAGCCTGGAGGGTACCTTTGCACGTGGAGGCCTGGACAAAGTTCTCAAAGATCTGTCCCGCCTGGGTCTGCTTCTTGTCCTCGTTTTCTCCCATGGTTCAGGAGCCGTGTGGAGCAGTGGTGTGGAGGGGGCTGAGGAGAACACCATGAAGTACCCAACAAATGTCGCACCTGCAAAAGTAGGTAGAGGTGGAGGTGAGCTTTGTAGACAGTGAGGGCAGGGTGGGGGATGGGTGCTGACAGGTAAAAATAAAATTCCTTTAATACACTAAAATATTAACCACAATACCTCTTGTTCAATATTAAACACAAAAACCCATTTATGGAAGATGTCAATCATGTCTTTTAACCTGGCAAAGTGACCTTGTAGCAATTTATCTTCTACTCCCCCAACCCCCTGCCAAAGAACCACAGGTTGTACAATGCTATATCCCAGCTGTATCAACAGTCCCTGATCGATCTTTCTTATGAAGCAGATGGTTCTGGAAATAGTGACTAGTAGAAAGAAAGAGAGAGAGAGAGAGAGAGAGAGAGAGAGAGAGAGAGAGAGAGAAAGAGAGAGGAAAAGAGAGAGAGAAACAGAAAGGCACATTCGATTTAGTGTGAAAATCTATCATTCTTGAGGTGCAAATCAGTTGACTAATATGAGTACAACCCAGCCATATTACATTAGTACACAGGCAGAAAAAAAAAGGAAAAGAAAAAAAAAACAACCCAAGCACAGTCCTGCTCTTTCGGTTTCATGACCATCCCACCTGTCCTTAGGTATCCAACTTTAAAGCCTTTCTTCATTCATTTCCAGAGGGCAGGTCTTTTCCCTATATGGATGACAATCAGCCACTTCTCAATACTTTCCTCTGTTTCTGGCATCTGCTGGCAATGCACTGTCTACTCCAGTCAGATACACAGAAAGTCAGAGAGAGCCATGTGGGCCTCCTCCCCTCATCATGCAGAAGGAGTCAGAGTTTTGTGAGCCAGGGTGTGAGCTCTTTGGAACAAGTGCTTGGGCTGATGGACAGGAAAAATGCGAAGGGTGCTCATTCACATCACAAAAATAGCTCTGCCTGGGTTTTGGCCATGGTCCATTCTTCTCTGTACCACTCTAACCTCAGGCATTTCTTAGGAAAGTCATTTAGGTTTCAAAGGAACAAAAACAAAGTCGAGCTTATTTTCCAAAGCACTAGCTATATTTCCAGAATCCAAAGCTAGAGCAAAAAGACAAGGGCAGAGGACCTGGGGCTGACCTAGCTGTCAGGAGGGGGGCCGTTCTATAAACCAGAAGGCACAGCAGACCGAGCTCCAGGGGCCTGGCAAGGGGAGGTCAGCAAACCTGCAGAGCATGGACCCTCGAGGCAGCTGCATACTCTCCAGACAGAAGCACTTATCATGGACACGGCTGGATGATGGGGTGGTTTTATAAAACTAAAAACAGAAGACGGTGTTTATCTCCTTCCTTAGTATCTTACTCATTCACGCAACAACAGTTATTGATGCCTTAATAAGAGCTGGGGATCACCTGATGTGCTGGAAACAGAGTCAGGGCTCATCTAGCAAGGAAGATAGATTCCACAACAGGCAAGCACATGTGGAATATGAACAGAGTGTCCAGGAGCCTAGGGGTGTTCACAGAGCCCAGGAGCCTAGAGGAGTCCAGAGAGGCCACAAGAAGAATATGTCAGGAAAGCTCCAATTTTAGGAACGAGATGAATTTTGCTAGAAGACTAGGGAGTAGACATTCCAGGCAGACGACACATCACATAGGGACGTGAGTCTGGAAAGAGCCAGTACAGTTGGGGAATGACAGCAAGTTCAACGGTGTCAGGAGTTCAGAATTGTGAGGAGGTATGGTGGGGATGTTCATGGTAGATTGTGGAGTGTGTCCCTTTCAGACCGAAGTGGGGGCCTGGCCTCTCAGTGGGCTGTGGGGGGTAGGAGATGCAGCAGCAGGGGGAGACAGGTCTTTGGGAAGATGAGATGGCAGAGGCAGGCTGGAGGAAGGGGCTGGAGGCCAGAGACAGCTGAGGGGCTGCCTAGGCAGCAATGAGGAGAGAAACTGGGAGAGAAGGGGAAAGAACAGCAGACGCAGATGAGCAGAAAGACCTGCTACCAGCAATAAGGAACAGCCTGTGGCAGGCAAGGTCTCCTGACACCCCGATCCTGGGTGGGTGGGTGGGCTGGGACTAGCAATACGCATGGGGCCCTGCCCTCCCTCCCTGCTTTCCCTGAGAGCTTCTGAGGGGCCTGGCCCTGTGCTAGGCTGAAGGGAGACTAGCACACATGCCTGTCTTCCACCTGGTCGGCTCCCACACCTCAGCCAGGCCCAGATTCTCTATGAGGCCTTGCCTGGCTGCCCTGGTCCACAGCATTCATGTTCAACACTCTGGGATAGCAGGCTCTGCGTCCTTCCTGGCGCGGTGAGCAAACCAGATGCTCTTGGGACTCTGTGAGTGTTCACTGTGCTCCCTTGGGCGTGACTCAAAACACACCTCCTACTCTCTCTCTACTTTCCCCACGTGCAATACTTGCTAACCAGAGAGCATAAACAGAAAGCAGAAGTCACTTGCTCTTCAGGGCACATTCACAGGTTAGGTCTTTATCTCTCTCTGGAAGCGCTTCTGGTCTGGCACTGAACAAAGGTTGCAGTGGCTGGTCGGCAAGGGCAAGGCTGCTTGAATCTACTGCTACCCTGCAGTCCTGTCCAAGGACAGGCAAGGCCGGGGGCTATGGGAGCCTGAGTCCTAAGCTCAACCAGACCTCTTGTTGCCCACATGGTCTTACTCAAGCCACGTTGGAGTCTCAGTTTCTTCTGTCACAACCTTGTAGGGCTGTGGTGAAGGGTTGGAAACATGGACAATGGCGGAGGACAGCTGTAGGAGGTACTTGGTAGATGCAGTAATACACGCTGCACCCACCACATGGGGCAGATGTATATTTTGGGGAACGCACCCATTTGAGAAATAGTTTTGTAAATCTCTTCACCGAGTTGCCAACTCTTTGTCTAAAATCAAAAGCTGTTTAGAGGTATTGAGGCCGACCTGACTCCCAGACATTAATTGACAAACCGGAAGAACCTGTCTCCTCTCCACCGCAATGGCCTCCCCTCCTCCCCCAAAAGAATGAACAACTTAATCTTAGGGCTCTGGCGGAGAAAAAGCCACAGGTGGTGCTGAGGGCTGGTGGGCGTGGGAGCTCCAGGAACTTGCCCTTATCTGGAGTGAGATAAGGGAGGTGGAGGGAGATGGCTCAGCAGGAGAAGATAAGGGCGGCTTGGACATGCACCCCAGCTGCCCGTACCAGGCTCAGACCTGCCTCCTAGGATCCAAGCAGTTCAGGCTCAACCTTTAAACGTGGCTTTCCAGTTTAAGTCCAAGACTTTAGAAATGACTCTAACCCCCATATCAGCTTTCCTCATGGGAAAACATCAGAAAATGTAGCAGGCAAACCTGGGTATGAATCTGGTCTCAAGCCCTTGTTAAGTTGTGTTACCCTGGGCAAGTAGTCTCACCTGTCTCAGCCTCAGTTTTCTCATCCGTAAACTGGGAATAATATAGTCTTCCCTTGGTATTCGTGGGAGATCGGGTCTAGGATGCCCCCACTTCCAGATATGAAAAGCCACGGATGCTCAAGTCCCTTCTATAAAATGATGTGGTATTTGCATATAACCTACCCATATCTTTCCATATACTTTAACTCATCTGTAGATCACTTATAAGACCTAATGCAATGTAATTGCTATGTAAATAGGTGTTCTACTGTATTATTTAGGGAATCATAACAAGAAAAATCTGCACGTGTTCAGCAGAGACACAACCATCTATTTTTTGTTCTGAATATTTTCAATTCATAGTTGGTTAGATCCATAGATGCAGAACCCACGGATACAAAGGGCCAGCTGTATCTGAATTCACTTCATAAGGATGGAAGGATTGAATGAGATCAGGTATGCAACGTGTTTAGCACCTGGTGGCTAAATGATAACCTCACTCATCACCATTCTTCAGCTATCCCAAATGTCATCAAACCAAAGGGACAGGAAAAAGGAACACAAATCATGACTACTGAGACTAGCTTTCCAGGTCAAGAAATTGCATACAGGTTAAGTATCCCTTGTCCAATATGCTTGGTACCAGAAGTGTTTCAGATGTTTGGGGGAATTTAGGATATTTGAATCAGACTTACCAGTTACATCCCAAATCCAAAAATCCAAAATTCTCCAGTGAGCATTTGCTTTAAGTATCATGTCAGCACTCAAAAAATTTTGGATTTGGGAGCATTTTGGATTTCAGATTAGGAATACCCAACCTGAGTATTCAATGACAAGGGCTTCCACTTAGAAGGTCCGAGTTCAAACTCACTTCCTAGTGTGTAGCCTTGGAAAAATCACTTAACTTCTGAGTTTTTGGTCCCCCAGAAGTTAATGGAGAGCCTCATACAGAGTGGTTTTGGTCATGAACTGAAATACATGGGACACAAAGCAGAGTTGGTAATGAAAGAACTGACCTAGCACTTAGGACACAGTGAGTCTGAGCTTCAAGCCTTTTCTTCCAGAGACCTGGGGTGTAATACCTTTGGTGACTATCCTTGCCCTCCCCAAAGAAGGTGGTTAAGGATTTTTTTTTTTTAACCAGAAACTCCTAAGTCACTAGCTCTTGTTAAAGTCTCCCATGTTAACTACCACCCAGCTGTTGCATTTTTGGAGTTTGATATGAAATAGAGAGAAAACCAACTAGCCAGAAATATGAAAGATTTCTGAGTCTTCTGGGAAGAAACAAGATGTGATGTTTTAGTTTCTAAGAATAGCCTTGAAGCAACTTGGTTTTTGCCAACTGGAGTCCCTTATATGTGGTTCTTCTGCTCCCCTGCCTATGTGACTTCATGAGTCACAAAGCAATTCCCTTTCCTTGCCTCTGGTGACTACAAATAAAAACTCACAGCTTCAGATCGCAGGCAAGAGAAGTAGTAATGGGCTCAGCTCACAAAACTGGAGAGACAAGCTCAAGGTTTGCACAGAGGCCCTGAGCGCCTGCCTGAATGAGGACTCCCTGCCTTCCACCTTCCCTGAGGCTCATCACACAAATGGTGTATCAAGCCATATGACCAGGCCACCGATAGATGTTGGGGCTCTATAAAACTTAAGGAGGAATGGGGAAGGACACCAAGTAGAAACTTCC